CTAAAAATAGAATTATTGTCCCATATCATGGGGACAACCCCAATACTAGAAATGGCGCGCGCTTACGGTCTCCGTCCCCGATTATGGCTCCTGGTTCATAGGAGAAAACTTTTTCCTGACGTCATTGTTTACATTTCTCCTCATTAACATACGACTTTGCGAAGAGAAGGCATCACGCTAGACACGAATTGACTACAAACATGAGCCATAATCGAGGACGGAGAAAGTAAGCGCGCGCTATTGCTATTATTGGGGCTGTCCCCATGATATGGGATAATTTGTCTATTTTTAGAACAAATTGCGCCTCATGTGCGGTACATGCGCGTACACGCTGCGAGGATTTTTGCGGATGTAGCGCGGGGAAATGGCGTCCAAAATTCCCGAAATGTTTTGATACGTTTGGCCCACAACCCAATACGTTCATGTCTGTTGGAATTTTCACTTCAGTATTTTCGTCGTAAGCTGCTCCAGTTTGAGTGAAGTAAGACAGAGTCGAATTTAGTATTGTCCCGCTTTATATCACTGACCAAGTTATGTTCCGCTGGTTCTTTTAAGAGAGCTCCACAGTACTCCACTCTATTGAAGTTTCACACGTGATGAACATTAACAGCTTTTCCATGACACAACAAAAAAACTAGTTGGATATAGTTGGATATAGCAGCATTTCAGGACTTCAAAGTTTCCCTCCTCTTGCCACACGCTTGCGAGGATTTCGCCAGTCGATCGCGACCGAAAAGTAAAAAAAGTAATTGCAAGTTTGAGTTTCGCCTGAACTGTAAGCAACGCTTGATGTTTTATCAAGGCCCAATAAGTGACAATAAGTTTATGCGTGTAGATGCTGCTCAGTTTTGTTTGTGTACAAATTGTCTGTTGTCGATGAATAAGAGCGCCCGCCGATGTGTGTTTTGTACAGTCAGTAAAACATATGTGACAAATTGGACTCCCGCACTTTCGTGTTATAACTTACATCGAACTCAGATAATATCTCTAGTTTTTAAATATGTTTAAGGTTGATAAATATTTGAGAACATATTAAAAGCCTAACTGAAAATATGTGAATACAGCAGAAATAATCGGCAAAGTTACGATCACGATTTTTTTAATCAACTCGAACAACGATTTCGATTTTGTTGGCTTAGTTACCAAAACTCCTTGTCTATGTTATTTTCGCAGTGTAAGATTTCACTGTGTTAAAGAAACACACATGATGTTAGTAGCCTTTTGGCGTTGGTAAAAATTGTTGCAGCATCTCAGCACAAAAGACAAAGAAAGAAATCTTTGTCAAGATTTGTTGACAATTGAAAACATCGACTCGGACTTGAAAGTGCACGCGCTGCACTATGCAAATGAGCTACTCAAAAACTTTTGCAAACTCGCCAAACAAACAGAAACAATAAGAAACTATCAAAAATAGGTTCTGGTTAAGATTAAGCATTGTTTGAGAAACTCTCAAATTAGCTCGATACCAGAGTAAAGAGTTTTCTTTCATATTTTTTCTTTACAGAACAAACGCAAAAGCTTACGCGTTCAACNCGAAAGAAATCTTTGTCAAGATTTGTTGACAATTGAAAACACCGACTCGGACTTGAAAGTGCACGCGCTAGACTATGCAAATGAACTACTCAAAAACTTTTGCAAACTCGCCAAACAAACAGAAACAATAAGAAACTATCAAAAAGAGGTTCTGGTTAAAATCAAGCATTGTTTGAGAAACTCTCAAATTAGCTCGATACCAGAGTAAAGAGTTTTCTTTCATAATTTTTCTTTACAGAACAAACGCAAAAGCTTACGTGTTCAACCAGCGCGAGCAGATATTATTCATTCACAGCGCGAAATTGAAGTCTTGTTTTCGACCCTGAAAAACTCACCTTTTCCATCAGCTCAGAGCATAAACCTATATGTAAGAGCCCTGGATCTTATTCATTGCCTTATTATTCCCCGCCATCGCTGTGAAAAATCTGCAAGAGAATCTTGCAACTCTCACCATTTGATCACGGAACGTGACAACAGACAACATTCACAGGAGAACCCCAGACATGTGCGTGGATCCGCGCGGATATATGCCGTCATGGTGGCGCAATTTGTTTTAGAAATGATAGAAAAATTGTCCTATGTCATAGGTGCGCGCGGATCATAAGACTTACAGTCTTCGTCCCCGATTATGGCTCCTGCCCATGACCATGACCAAGGTATTAAAAAGTTCAATTTACCTTGTGATCACCCATGGTCGGTAACAAAGGTTGAGATGACAGATATATCAAGTCCACTTCCGGTCGCATGGTATCTCGCACCCCGTGCTGTCCAGTGCCTCATGTATCTCATTTGGTCGCGTTTTCGACAACGTTTGTTTCCATGGCAAAAAAAGTAAGCCAAATCCGGACCAGCCATTCCGACAATATATTCGAACGTACCATTTTTGAACGAAATGTGCAAAAGGGTCTCAAACCAGTGTACCGAACTTGGGGATTCACTTAAAGTCACTCAGTTTATTACAAATCCAGTTTTTATTCCTTTGCTCTGCTAACGTTGCACAACTCCTCCCGAATCTTGTGTTCCGTGCAATTTTCTTTTGTTTTCTAAAAACTCTCCGACTACAACTGTCGGTCTGTCGATTACAAAATGTCACTTCTGTTCACAAATAGTCACACAATTTCTGGCTTCCTCTCTCAACGATTTATGAAAGTTGCGTGGTTTTGGAATTTGAGTCACCTGGTTAGCGGGTTAAATGAATGGAAACAGAAGTCACATATAACTAGAGAATGTTGGTCTGTAAGCAAACACCTAGAAAGAATGTTCAAAGTAAAGAATGATCATCGCATTAAATTTCCAATTTAAGCAATTGGAAAGAAGAACCCTGAAAAAATCAGGGCTTTTTTTTTCAGGCTTCTTCTTTCCAATTGCTTTAAATTGGAAATTCACTGCGATGATCATTCTTCACTTTCATCTACAACCGCAGTTCAAATATGAATTATTTCATATATACTTCACATCAAAGAATAACAGTTTATTTATTTTACATGTAGACTACGAGTAGTCCCTCTTTCGCTTAGTCCGTCGTACGTGACGCGAAAGAAAACCGCGAGAAAAAAAATGGCCGCGCAAAATCCTGGAGGCGAGGAGCGCGCGAAAGGAGGGACTACCGCCTAAGCCCAACATTCGAGATACGTGTGACGTCTTGCAGGAATGTTTTGGAACCGGAGCAAATCCAAGCGGTCCCAGAGCAAATCGAAACGTTGGAATCGCGCTTCGCAAGCCGTGATGTTCTTGCGAATCTGCCAACAGGCTTTGGAAATATTTAAATTTATCCAGAGTTTTCTTTGGCAAAGCTTTCCGCCTCCAACCCGACTGGGAGCGTGTTAGGAGGAGGGGCAAGGGGGGGTCTTGTCACGAAGTCACGATAGTAAATTTTCGATTTCACGAATCACGTTAAATTCACTAAGGTCACGGAAAAAATCTGATCACGATGCAGTGAAATTCAGCTACGAACTCAACTTTAGACATTCACGATTCACAACCAAGGACTTTTGCATTTCACGCCTCACGGAATACACTTCAATTACGATTCACGGAACAGTTTTCTTATCAAATCACGATTCACAGAGCACAAAAAAACCGGATCACGGCGTCACGAAAATACCCTTGTCCCCACTCTTTTAGTGATTTCGCCGCTCAACAGCGTCGTCCAAGTCAGAAAATATAAATTCACTGAGCTTGGCCTTTCTGCTGTCCATTTGAAAGATTGAACCGGACTTTCACTTGAAATCGGACATTCACCTGAAACCGTCCGCTGCTAGCTATCGGCACGGCGTCGACAAAACCTGGATCGGACCGGACCGGATCACGGATCGGATCACGGACCGGATCACGGAT